TCCCTCCAAACACAGGGCCACTGCACACTGGCGCACGGAGAGCCCGGCCAGGCCTGAGCACAACGGGGACGACGGAGGCGAGATAACCCCCGACTCTTCAGTCCAGTTCGACGATATTTGGACCGACTGAAGGTTGCATTCCTGAACTCAGGTCACAGGACCTAGTCAAACCATTCCTTTTATGGTCGTTCTCAACTCCCAGGGTTTATACATCACACAACTGTGTCAATACTAAATGTGATTCCATGATTGTTTACAAGGAATCCATATCATTGAAACATGGAACATGACGGTCTATACGTGATTCGGAATCACCAAAAGCATCCAAAAGCTGGCGAAGCAATTGAACCAAAGCATTCTTCGAACGTGGCCATTCCTCACCATTCCCAACCACTCCAGGCGTCGACAAGACGTGCACGCCATGGCCAATCCCAATCTGGGATGGAGCTTGCGTCCACGGCAGTGGCGACCTGCCACCAAGCACGGATAGCAGCTGGCGCCCCGCGTTTGAAACCAGCCTGGCGGAACACGCACGAAACCAACGGATCCTCGTGGCCCGAACAGCGATTCCAGCCGGATGTAGCAAGGACATCAGCTGGCAGCAGCCAGGACATGCAGAAATCCAGCCAAATGCATAACCAAGTAACAAGCCTGAACTAGGAAATGACATGAAATCATGGAAACCATATACTAAATCATAATGTCTTCCAGGACCGACACCAAGAGGTGTCGGACTAAATAGCCTCTTAGAGCCCAAAAGCCACCGGACTTGGAAGGTCCTGGAAACTGGACATTTTATAGTGGGTTGAGAGTATACACAGACCCCAAAATGTCCGTTCGACAGCTGGGGGTCCCTATAAACCACCGACATTGGGGGTTCTGCCATCTACTCTCAATCCACTGTAAATGTACTCTCTCTCTCTCTCTCATCAGATCCGCCAAGGCACCGGTCTCTATGCCGCCCTTCCGCTCACGCTCCCAAAGGACCTCTGCTCCCAAGCGACGCAGAAAGGGGTGCTGCTGAAGAGGCAGAAATCGAGGCCAGCCGCTGTCGCTGTAAGATCTGCAGTAGAAGTTCTTTTCGGCCTCAGGCCTCTGCCCACAGAAGCTCTCCATCTCAGGCCACATGCGCGAGGACGAGGACGCGTCGAGGTCATCGAGGCAGACTCTGTCGACCTCCAGCTCCTCGATGAGCCTGACCCGAAACCGAGTCTATTGGGGACTTCAATTCCAGATCTCGCAAGATCCTGTGGGTGCATGTGGTTGTCCATGTGCTGTTCACCCCAAACCCGGAGAAAAACTGTCTTATAAACCAAAAAGAACACACACCCCGTCTACTTGGGACCCGACTTCAAGTACTCTAGAATCGAGAAAATGGCACATGGCCCACATGGCCCTATAAAAACAGGTGCGACTGTAGCCATTTTCCAAGGTGAGGCTCCAGGTGGGCGTCAACCACCGCCCCCCCCCCCATCCAGTCCGTCCAAACCCCCGGTGGACGTCGGTACCGAAGCTCCCAGTCTGCGAGGCTCGAGAGGTCTCGAGAGGTCTCGGGAGTGGAGAGATCGGCTGTAGACGGACCTAAACTTGAAGAACATGAAGACGGAGCCAAATGCTTTGTGGTTCTGACGACTTCTCTTTGGTTATTCAACTTCTCTTTGGTTCTGACCACTTCTCTTATCTAAATGAGGTTCTTCACGTAGACTCCCTGAATTTGGGAATGAAGAACCTCTTGGGCCCACCGGTGCACCGGCCCACTGGCCCGGGAACAGCGGGTCGGGTCGGGTCAGGGTCACCGCCCCCACCTGCCGCATCCGAACCGCATGCTTCTGCGACCGAGCATCTTTTGCAGCTTTACGGCACGAAGCTTCTGGTCTCTCTTTGAATAGTGTGGTAGCTTCTGGTCCTCCAGTTCCTTTGCCAAGACCCACGGCACCGGACAGCCTGGAACACGGATGAACAGCGGGAAACCGATCCATCCCCGTTAAGACCGTGGGGGACAGTCACTGAGGAACTAGCCTCCCCCAAAACAAAGGCATGGAAGGTATGCATGGAATATACAATGAGTCTCAGTGTAAATCACGTTTATGACTGACTCGAATGAGTAATACATCTTAAGCACAATTCTAATGACTCGAATGATTCTAATGTAAATCACTATATGTTCCATACATGGATGGGGGTCCAGCGCAAATCTGGGCACACTGTGGCCCTGCAACATGACAAGCTGGTGTTGTTCTGGGTCGAAAAGCAGCTTCAAAAATAACCAACACGACACCAGATGACACCAGTGTGAAGGGGTTGGGTCGGGTTCCCCAACAGAACTCTGCAAAACTCTTGGACCACTGGTCCAGCACTGCATGATTCAGGCCTTGCGGCCATGAACGCATCTTTGCATGAAGATCAAGACCAAACCGGAACACTTCCGCCCATCCTTAGTTGAACCTGCCCACTCAGCATTGCCACTTGCACTGGTCACTTGCACTGGTCCCATTCGGAGTCCAGTTCACCCAAAACCACAGGCTTCTGACCTCTACGACGCGCGCCACTGCGCGCTGTAACCGAACCTTGGGCACTGAACCGGTGGCCCGAACGGTGGGCTCCCGATTCGGCCGGCGACGGTCCCGGCTCGGACGGACCAAGGTAAACAATGCCGAGCCGTTCGGTCGTCCAACGAGGCAAGATGCCCATCTCGTCCCGCTCGTTGTCCGCGGCGCCTGCTTCTTGGAGGTGCTGGAGGCGCAGCCGCACGTCGTGGCGCGTCGCAGTGGGATGGGCGCGGTAGAAAGCTGGCCGCAAGATGGAGCGATCCGGTAGCACGGCCCACCACGTTTGTGAGGGAAGCTTGCATTCCTTGGAAGGTGGAGATCAAAACCTGTGAGATACCGGCTTTCGGCTGAGATTTGAGCAGAACCTGGAACAAACAAAGTCGCGCTTCAGGATAGTATATACTCCCATATAGGAATCCAAGTGCCTTCTCAGGTACGTTGATGTTCGACACTATAGGTGAGTCCAGTGGCACCGAACCGGGGTCGGTATGCACGACTGGATCCCAAACGGGACTGTTGAGAAGAGTTGAGAAGGTCTTTTTTCCCCAACGCATCTAGATCTCTAGACTTTCTGCTGCTACACCTCTAGACCTCACACACTGTTCGGGGTCTCTTGCCGGGAAGACATTTGATGGTTGGACCAGTTCTGCCGGTCCAAGCTGCTTGGACAAATTTGATGGTTTAGCCACTGTTTGCGGATTTGTACGGGCTACGACGGGCTTGATTTCTACGGGTTCTGAAATCTTTCGAACAACCTGCGGGGTTCGAAAGAAACAATATTTAATATGTTCAGCCAAATGAGCTGAAACGCAACGGTTTCCTAAAAGAACAACTATTTTATGGGTTCCTGTTGCTCCATATATAATCTGTTAACAGAAATGCCAGCCGTTATCAGCCGTTCCATCGTTTCAAGTGTTCAATGCAGTTTCAAACGCGGTTTCAATCGAAGGACACGGCGTAACGCATCAAGGACCACCAGCTGGAGAGGTAGGCGAACTTTCATCAACACGAGGGTTCGCTCTTGGTGGAAAAACACCTTGAAGCCAAGGTTTTGTCCATGGAAGAAACCCAAAAGCTGTGGACACAGCTCCTTCCTCTTTCACCTTCAAGCATTTGCTGGCCAAGTTGCAAAGCAAAAAAACTGCATACCCAAAAGCTCTACCGGTCGCCACCAGGTTCCCTGAAAAGACTTGGTGGGAGGTAATGGCGCGATGAGCTCTTTCATCTGCCGCGATGTGGGCTTGTCCTTCACGGGCCAAATGGCATGTGACACACTCAGCGTGACCACAAAACATAAATTGATTTTGAACCAACAAATTCTTCTGAGTTACTAAGAGCAATGGCCTCCAACCTAATAGCGATGGCCTCCAACCTATTCTTTCGGAGAAATCACCCGCTTGCACGATCCTCCTCACTCTCCTCTTCCTCCCCTGCTTCCCCTTCCAGTGGCAACACCTGAGAAATGAGTGCTTGCTCATCTCGTTTCTGCCTGAGGCCGAAGTTCTCTTCCAACAGCTTCTTCTCGTCAAGCTCCTGAGGCTTCGAATGGCTCGAGAGGCTCGGACGTGGCGGAAGAGGTCATTGGGACGAGGTCATTGGTGACGACTTCTGGTATGGGGAGGATCTGCAGAGCTTCAAGTCAGAACGTTGGGAGTCTTTCAGAATTGGACCTTAGGTTCGTGCTTGGATACTTTCTGAACTCGCATTCTGCTCAGATTGCCCTCCCAAAAGGTTGTGCCTGGCAATGCTTCCGTCCACCATGTCCACCGGGCTAAGTACTACTACAAAATCATGCTAATTATCAAGTTGTTCCTGCCCTTCTTGGGATGTTTGATTACGCTCTGCAGTCAACATACGACTTGCAGCT